TTAGGATTTTCCCGCCGACAAACACGCCCAATACGCGTGAACTCAATATGAATTAAAATGTCAGGGGTTAAACTGCGTAAAATGATTTCCGGTCTCGGCAAATTACGAATCAACCGTCATACAAGATCAATAATAATTTCCAAATTTACACAGTAAAAATTATAAAAATCCATAGCTGTTTGAAAAAACTTCTCAGATCTTTATTTGTACGTTCATTGCCATCTTCGTCAAACTCAAAACCCTCAAATGTCCAAGTCGGCGTCACTGTAGCCGTCGAATAAAATCCCTACAACTTATTCCTGAAGTTCGTCGATATCGTCCAACACAATTTGGACTTAGCACTTTTAATCCACGGATTTCGCAGTCTGTCAGCTTGGCATTTTTCATTCATGTCTAATCATAATAAAGAGACAAGAAAAATGGGGTCGCTCTGCTGCGATGGCACACGATGCTTTTGTTTACAGTCCAGTAATCATCTTTGACCTTTATGCATCTGCTTTACTGATCATCTTGAATTTTCAAGGTGAATGTTCCGGCGAAGCACTCCACTATCACCTTGAAGTATTTCATTAGGACTATGTGTATGTGACAATGCCCTCACAGTTTAGAATCAGTTTAACAACAGCCAATCATATTACTTCTTTCTTCAACGCGCTTAGCCAAGCTATCAAAATCACTGAAGACGCGCACCACTCTACCATGTATTTCTATGGACTCTGCGCGAGCTGATGTACACTGATCAAAAAGCCGATGAAAATAGCTAAAATCGAGAAAACAGCACAAACTTAACTTTGAAGCAATCCAACCAAATTTAAATATGTTGCATATGTAGGGGGGTGACAACAACCATCCCAAAATACCGTTTTCTGAGAATTTATTGGCCTTTGTTTTCACCATGATGGTTGCCAGGCGAAAATGCCTGACCCGAGAATAAATGTCGCTGAGCACAGCTAAAGATGTGTTGGCTTGAATGTCGAGGCGATACAGCAACAATATCCATACATCATGCAACTCACTGATATTCAGACCAAAGCTATTCAAGCTTTACTTAATAATAGTGGTAATAGTGTTGTCACCACTGTTGACTATTATAGAAGAGTAGGTGTTATACCCCAAACACATATCGGCAGTAATGAAGCCGAAAACATCAGAAATGCAGAGCTCCGAGCGCTTGTAACAAAGCTTTCTATTGGTCAGTAAACTTTCTATCGCGCAACCACGTGACATACACGGTTATGAATGGTTTTACCGCACAGTGTTGTAGAGGGAGGAATCTCCGAACGAAACAACACCGTGCAGGCGGACGATGTTACTGATTGGCTAAGAATGACATCACTACTAGTATTTCATCATAAAGGTCAAATCGTGACATTGCTTTCTTATCAGACTCGACGCTTATTAATCACGGTGAAAGTTATCATTCAGCAAGTTCCGTCGGTAGGAATGTCTCACTATATGGATATCGCGGGGAACTTGAAATAGGAAGTTTTTTTTATCCAAAGACAGAAGAATAGTTTTCATGACAGGAATGCAATAGCGGTGATAAAAGATGGTAAAAAAGTTGGCAGTCTTCGCCGTGACATTGCAAAATTGCTGGCCCAAGTTATGGATTCGCAAGCTGCTACAAAATAATTTATAAAGCCAAAATAACGTGATTTCAATCATTCTCCCAGGTACGGGTTGCTACAATATTGCAACATTGTTTTCATTGTCAACGACGCTAAAGCCGAACGAGTACGACACTTGCTTAGCGGCTCTCCTTATACGATTTGCTTGAATCGTTTCTAAGGAAGCACAAACAAAACGGCTGGCCTTTTTTAGGGCCACGGCATATTTCAAAAAGAGAAGTATCACGACAGACTTCAAGAAAGTCAACTAACTGTTAATACAACCACAGTCAACGAATGGAAAATAGTTTTTTTTGTTTTGTGTAGTAAAAGACCCCCTGGGCGTGTGCACAGATATGACCTTAACTTCTTTATTGTGTCAAAAGTGGAGGGTGGGCGTTTGTCCAGGCATGGGCTCTTACCCGGATAAGTATTGTAATGTGTTTATAGTATTGTATAGGATAAAGAGTATGAGGACTCTTTTGAGATATAAAGTTAGACCCAAGATAAATAAAATGTAAAGGCCACGGGCTAAGACATTTCAGTGCATGGAGGACTGATACTACATGAATAGACTGCTAATTGCTATACAAGATTATACACCAAAAATAAATAATTGGAATGAACCAAATGATATAGATAAATCCCGATTTACTCTGATTATAGGAGTTAATACATGTGGGGGGGGGGAGTAAAAGACCATTTCAATTATAGAAAGTTCTCTAAAGTTTCAGTAGTTTGCCCTATGTTATTGCATGAGTGATAAAATATGTTCTCACAACTCCTGCATATCAATTTCAAATCAACACACATTCATCAAAATGCCATACCCATGAAAGTGTTTTAAGGTTACTCGACTCACAATTATTAAGGACTATGAACTTTTTTTTTGATAACTGTAAGTTAGGGTCATGTCTGATTTGATTTTTGTATTTTAATGATGAATTTATCCTTCATGAATTACTATTCATTGTTAAAATAACGGAAATCATGGATAATGCAGACCAGTCAGAAATTTTATTTTGTAAATTGTCTAGACTGCATATGGAGAAGCACTATTGGTGATTCATAGTGTAATATTTTTGAAGTTAATGCATGCATGCATAGTTAAGATGTCATGAGACTCAAGATCTTCACTTGATTGTTTCAGCTTTTTGATGCCAGTGCAGAATGTCACTGTGTGTACAGCATGGTAGATCCAGTTAATTTAGAACAGTTGGTCACTGAACAGTTACCATTATTTGAACGTCAATGGAAATCAATGGTGGCCAATGTAGATGTTAAACAGTAAGTCGTCATACGTTCAACAATTATTATTATTAAATGTAGATTCTGAAAGTAAAAGTAGCCTGAGCACCAGAGGTGCGTTCATTAAAGAAATTATTCATAAGTGTTTTTCTGTCAATTTGACAGGCATTTTGTAGCCTTATTTAACAATGCTAAAAGGTGATTTTCCAGCATAACTAAACAATTTGTGCTATCCAAAATACATGTTTAAATATTATTTCTATAGAGAGAAAACATGTCTTGAAGTATTTCAAAATAAAAATTAATGAGTTGTCCAGAATGGAAAGCTTTGTGATAATGGGAAATAATATGGCTTTGTCATATTATTTAAAAAATTCAATTTTCTAAAATTTAAATATGTAACTGGTCTGGGAGAACCTTGCTGCTTTTTAATCAATTTTTCAGAGATTTTCTAATTTTTCTTTTTCTTTTGTATTTTAATTTTAGTGTGTCTTATTTTATTTGTCTTTTGTAATCATTTTTTACTATACTAAACCCACAGATGGTTAAGTTGCATAATAAAGTTATTATTATTATTAACACCATATCATTTAACAATGTGGTGATTTTAAACAATCTTATCAAGATTTCCATATCTTTTTGCAGAGCCTCAGGGTTGTCCACATTGTCTGAATCTTCCATTTGTGAGGTAAGCATTTTACTCTGTAAATTTCTCGAACATTTTGTTGAGATCATGTATAATGGCGAGTCACAGTGACTGTATGACATATATTGGTAATTTTTAGTGAAGGTTAATATAAATGTTTTGTTTTTTATACAGCCATTGAAAAGTTACTATAACCATGGACTTATGTCTCGGATGGAAGAAGAATTGAAGTGAGTATTCAATTATAATACCTGAACTTTTAATTTCATTTTACTTTACATCATTGTATACTTTGCATTGGACCCATATTAAACATGGCACAACATAACCACTGTTTTACTTTATTTGTTAATAATATTCCTATTTTATCTCAGTATTAAGAGACCATTTGTATTGTTTGGGACTAAGAGTGAGAGGAGTAGACTAACTCGTGCTAGGAGTAGGGGAATTACTGACAGTGATGATCCAATTGTTGGTACTGCTGGCATCAATGGTAAACACCCAACCCATATGGTAAGTGTTATTGTAGTCAATCCCTGTTCGACTTTCACAAGCCGATTTCATTCAAACTTGTACACATACATCATACATACATATATGATCCAATTCAAGATCATTCATCAAAATCAAGCATATCTGCCATTCCGAAACCAGATCTCGGTCATGCACTGACATATTTCATTTAAACTTGGTATGTTCATTGAACGTAATGGGTCCTTGATGCACATCATTTTTTTGACTGGTGGCCATTTTGTTTCAATGGACATACCCTGGTACCAAGTTTAATGAAATATGCCCAACATACACATGATATCCAGTTATGGAAAGGCATTCTGCCATTTTGAATTGGATCATGAAACAAATTATGTACTCATGTATGATATGATGTGTGATGTATGTGTTAAGTCTGAATGTGATTGGTCAAAATCTGTCAGTGGTACCGATGCGACAGAAAACATAGTTGTTTGATAAATATTTGACCAGGCGGTAACAAGTTGTAATAGTTGAACCCATCTGAAACCCTGGTTCATTGTTTTGATTAACTGTCACGTGGGGAGGGTAGTTAACTTTATTGTGTCTACAACTGTCACTGGAGTGTCTTGGAAAGTGTCTGGAGATGTTGCAAAGTCCTTCAGTAATTGCCTACCGGGTGCGAGAGTTAGGTGTATGTAAATATCTTGCGCCTGCTGTAAAAGAAAATTGATACTTGTTTACTATATATTGTTGTCTAAGTATGTAGAAGAATATACATTGTCAAGTAAACAGTTGTATCACTATAAAGCAGTAATGCCTATCTTTGAGAGGAATACAAGAACATGAATATACAAGCACTTTAATGCCTGTGTTGATGTGAATTTCAGTTTATAAGCTGGTGCAGTAGTTTATTTTATTTTTAACTTTTCATTTAGTTTTGTTCTTATTTTTGTTTGAAGTATTTCTCTATTACTTTTGTACATAAGATAAAGTTGACACTTTTTTCATTTCGGTATAATAAAGATTATTATTTATTTGTGTGCATTACTAATAGATAATATGTCATTTATTATTGATGTACACAGCAGGTTTAAGTCTAAAGTTTTGAATAATATTATTATTGTGATAATAATATGATTGTTTCTTTGAAATTTTTGTTGTTTTTAGTGACAACATCACATTTATGGGTTTCTAGAAAGAAGGTCCATAAACAATAGTTATGACAAACCTACCACAAGAGGGCATAATACTAGAAATACCCCTGCTTTTTTGTGTGTGACAGACCTGTTTTTAAAAAGTACTAACCTCCTCCAGATTTGTTAATATAATGTTTTACAGAGTTTATAGTGACAAATGGGGCATTTATGAACAACTAGATCTGCAATACTTTGATTCAGGTTAAATGTACATCATTCTTAGATGAGGACTGAGCCATTTTATAATTTCCTTTCCAGGTTTGCCAGTCAGTTTCTCCTAGAGGCCCAATATGCTGTGCAAGAACATATTTCTTCAGCAGTGGACACATTCCATATCCAGGTAATTATGCAAACTGGTTTTATGAATTATTTTGAGATACATATAAAGTATCAAGAAAATTTTCCTGACTAGTATGTATTGATCTCAATTTTATTGCATTCTACAGTTGCTGGAGGTGCAGGAGATCTGTCAAGGGATAAAACAGACCTCAGGTAAAGCCTCCGTCATTAATTATGTAAGGTTGCTGTGGATACTTAAAACATGTACAGCCAACATAATCTCTTGTTAAACATTCACTCAATGAAAGTTTTCAAGTGTGAAATAAAAATGTACCAAACTATATAAACTAATAAGTGTGAATTTTGTGCACAATTATTGAAATCACAATTCACTCCTCTTGCTGTGTGCATGTTTTAATAATCCACTGCCCCTATAAAACACTACGATCATTTATTTTAGTTACATTCATACATGTGTATTCAGTATCTGCTGAATTGGAGTCAAATACCACATAGCTTACAATTATCCCTATATTCTCTGTTTGATGTTAGGCGTTTTAGTAGGTGATGCCATGTAATATAGAGGGGAGGCAAGGGGGGTAGCTGGTACGGTTTTACGGGAAATAAAAAGGGCTTTTTACAATTTACAAGGAAAAAGACGTTTTTACAGTTTACAATGTTAAAAAATGGAACATTGAATGGTCCAAAGAGCTCTCCGACTCAAATCTCCGCCATTACTGCGCCGTGTGTAGAGACGCATGCGCATATTACCCTCCTAATGCTCTTCATTCGGTTAGAGGGCCTTTTACGTCTTGGACATTCAATTTTGTAGTGAATTGTGTCATCTAGTCCTTTTATAGTTTCTGAAATGTAATTTCCCTGGATTGTTTTTTACGATTGTTTTATTTGGATGTAAATTCTTGTACGTACCGAGAAAAATGACACATTTTTACAGTGTACGAAAAAAATATTTGATTGATTACATTGTACGTCTAGCCTGTGATTATAGAATTACGGAATTTATTTTTTCTATTTACGTTGTACGAACAAAAAAATATTGCAATTACGTTGAACAAAAATAACCCTTGCCCCCCCCACTCCCCCCCCCCCCCCCCGCAATATAGTGTAATGTATGTTTTTATTATATTTCTGAGAATGCTGTGCAAGGAGTAAACTGTGTTCATATTAAGATGAAGTACTACATAGAATAATGTTTTCTTGTTTGGAACATCTTACATGTTTTGGCAGATCCAACTTGAGTGAAATGGCTTTTTAAAATTTACCTAACTGATGAACATTTAACATGTTTTGTCAAGACCTGTGCCAATATATAGTGTCAATACTCACATTTATGCAGTAGCTTTGTGGACCACAGTTTTTCAACTTTTCATAATCCTGGGGATGCATTTATAGGAAAGATTTGTTTACTCACAGTGGAACTTTTAAAATATTTACTACAGCAACAACTCACAAGTTTATAAGTTTTACTCATGCATAAAATTATTGCCTATATTCTCCTATCATATTCTTCTGTCTTCAAAAGCAGCACATTTGATGTGCCGTATTTGCTTTATTAGTAGCGAATGAGTTGTGGACAACATATAATAAATGCTATTTTTGATTCATGCACACATCTATTGGAGAGGCACCTATATAGCACAAATACAGTATTGACAGTTTTATAAATCTTACTACTGTACGTGATTAAGCTGGTAAAAACACCATGTTAAAGTATCTATGAGGAAAGGTAATATTTTTCTGATAATTTTTTTCAGTATTATGAACAAACTATATGTAGAAGGTATCCATGCTGTATTGACGGCTATTCAAGTTTATTGTAAAACACACAGTATACAAAAGGTATGTGTGTATACCAGTATAATAACAACAATAATAATAATAATATTTATTAAGCCTTTAGAATGGCAACAAAGCAACAAAAAAAATAAAAGAAAAGAAAAATATACATATGAATAAAAATTAAAGTTGATAATAAATCTCATGGTGAATTCATACAACTTTCATTTCTGTGTTTAAAAAGATGTTCAAGAAATTTTCATACCTCTTTAAAAACAATCTTCCCCAACTCATAATTCATATTCCATGGAATGTCACCAGAGAGCAAATTAAATTGTGTAGATTCTTATATTCTGTATGAATTACACCTTACAGGCTGAGACTGTTATGTTTGATACTTTGAAAAGAGAATGTGAAAGAAATAAACTGCCTCTTGGTAGCTTGTTTGCATCATCAAGGTAGGTGTTGGAGTATCATAATGCTATTAATTAGATCATCAACAATAATTATTTTTTGACAGGTTGAATTATCAGAGTGAATTTTTGTCAGTGTAACATTATTGTCAATAGAGGTCATTTCAAAAAGAAAAGTGTGAAGTCGTAAAATTCAAAAAAATCTTATTTCTCATTCCCAAGAGGACATACCAGGAGAGTTAAAAATTAATTATTTATATTTGAGTAGAATATACACACAATTGATTTTGTGACTATCCTTTGCAGAGATTATATTGAGTTTAGAATAGGTGCAGTTGATATGGAAGGACAAGAAGTATCATTAACAGAAGGACAACGATCTCCATTTCTTAAAATAGTAAGTAAGATAGCATATATCATATCATTCTGTGATCACAAGAAATCTCACAAAATTTTCTCAGACAACAGTACACGTGTCCCAAAACTTGGTAATGGTACTGTGGATATCAATAGTAGTCAGATACATGTTGTATAATGTTTTAATATTTGTCATGGATTCCTTTAATACAATTTTTGTTATTCACTTTCAGGCTCAGCTATCACTCTTTAACATTCCCAGTATTGAGCATAAGAATGAAACAATGGGATCTGTTTTGTTCACGGAAACATTCATGGATTCCAATTTACAAGTGTTAAATCAAGGTAATTGTTATTTTTTTTTTCCTTTAGTCATTTTGATCTATATTACTGTCTCTTGGGTGTTGACATTGAAAGTGATTTATCTGGTTGTCTCTGTAGATGTATGAGTTCATCTCAAAGATGGAATGGATACTTGGGAATCACAAACAAAACCTAAGCTTGCTTTTGTACTAATCATTTTCAATAAAATTTTTTTAGATGGTACTTCTTCTGTTGACCATCAGTGCCTTGTGCTGACTGAACACCTTCCAAGATATATTTCCTGGGCTGTGAGTATATATATATATTGGAGAGTTGTAATTCTTATATGCATATCATATATTAAATAAATGTTAAACGTTGAATAATCACATTATTTTTCACTACGAAGAAAAGCAAAAGCTTTCTTTTCAGCCTTAATGTTTAATTTATCATCCCAGGCTACTGAAAATGATATTAAGATGTCGAAGGAAGTTGGATCATTCATCAAAGTAAGTTCAGTAAGTGTTGAGTGTATGCAACCAATGTCATGTTACAGATACATGTATCTTGGAGAACCTCTTGTGTCAACAGTTTTATGCATGCATACAGTATATGTATTTCTTGCATTCAAGATAGATGTATCTTTTAAACTGTGTCATGTGATCAGATCAAACAAAATCTGATGTGATCAGATGCTAAATCATAGATATTGTATTTCTATAGATGTCTGGTGAAACTCACTATGGTAGAGTGCTTATTAATGGTGAATCTGCTCATGTTTTTACAAGTAATCAACTAGCAATACCTGAAGAAGGTAAGAACAACGCTATCTATGCATACCTGGAAAGTAGCATTGCATTCATAGCTAGATTGTTCACATTTACATTTGAACCCAAATACATATTTCCTGCTATTCACACAAATTTAGACCATTAAATATTTGACATATAATACATGTAGTACAATAAGCTATTACAGACAGCTACTGGTATATGAATGATTTTTAAAGTACAATTATACTAAAGTATCAAAATTGCCAGCCAAGTTAGTGATTTAATATGTGTGTCTGGAGATTGTTGCACGTTTGGAAGATCAGTCAAGCCAACCTGAATAGGAGATGCATTATCTTTCAATTTATTTCATCCAATCATATAAATTGCTGTATGACAATAGCAAAGTTATTCAAAACACAGTTTCTGGTGTGTCTAGTGGGTGGTATATTGCGCGTAAATGTGTGCATTTAGCAGAACCATACACTCTTGTGAAAATGGTTCTATCTAAACAGTTCTATTTACTGAATGATCTTGAAACGTGCGTTGTAAATCAGTCAGCAACTTAGGCCAAGACCCAAGTACATGCATTATAAGACCATCATTAATCATATAATTTATATGCCATACCAATTAAGCAAATATTTGTTTTTTTATTTTCTTCAGGTAAATTTTATGTATACGAGAAAGGAATTGTGTTCCAGCATAATAGATTTGGACCGATTGTGCTACCGAAAACACACATGGAAAAATTAAACTTCTATGATGGGGTAAGACATCTGTGAATATTTCTAACTTGAATTGCCAGAGATGACATTGTTAGCTGCGAGTAGACTTTCAAGGGGCCATGTGATTGTAACACCAACACAGCAAAGTTTGTTGTTCTTATCTGGGTCATGTGGGTCCCTGGCTGGTAATAATGTTTAAATAGATAATGTAAAATTTCAATTTACTCTATATTAATTGATTACATAATTTGTTCATTATCATAATAAATATTTGTATTTTTAAATTTAGGATTCACCTAGTGTAGTTGCATTGATAATTGTTACCTACAAGGCCTCGTTCTGGCAGTGGCTTCCTTTACAGAACCAAAGCAAAGACAATATACTGGTATTTGCATTAACTCCTCGTACCAAGGCATACAAAGCTTTCTTTTCTGAGGTAAAGTACATCAATTCATTTGTCTGCACATTCACCCAGTAATGTTGGACCAAAACAATATCAAGTACAGTCCTTCTATAGACCGGTATAATTTGTTTCTTATAAATTCTTAGGTGCTCAGTGTGTGGCAGAAAACAGAAGATGAACCAGCTATGGTAATGGCTGAGAAATTACCTGAAAAATATATTCATGTGTAAGTAAAGATATGACAGCAGAGGTTGAAATTTTCAGAGGCCACAATAGCAATAGGGGATTTTCCGTTCAACTGCGAGATCTCGTGAGATGCATGAAAGACACGCATCGAATGTCTGCCACAAAAATCGAACGATTTGATTTTGAACTCGAATTTCTTTATTTCGTAGCTTACATCGACCAGCCGATCTTCGACAGAGGAATATTGTCTATCAACAAATGTGTACAGCGCATTATTAAGCATGGAAATGTCCCCAAACTATTTTCGCGTTTGTCGAATCCCACACGATGTTTGATGCCATTACGACACTATGACCTTTGTATGTCCTGTTTTTACGTTCGATTTCACGCATAACACGTGATTCTCGCAGTGAACGGAAAATGGTCTATTGCCTAAATGCCCAACCTCACTGCCCTTCAATTTTTACTTCAACATTTCAACGAGACAAGTATTTTTAACTTGTTTTACCTCAAAAATAAGTGTCCATACAATTTCATGTACTGTGACAGTCTGATCAAATGATCACCATATGCACAATGCAAGCTCACATTTCTTTTTTTAATTATTGTATTTCAGACATAATGAACTACAAAATGCCTATAATATGGAACATGGAAGTCCGTCCCGACATATCACACCCATGGTAAAAGCAGAAGCAATAATTCCAAAATTGAAAGAGTAAGTATTATTTCTAATTCACCAACTATTTAAAATTGAATCAATTGAGGACAAAGTGCTGGTAAACTGTAAACCACCTGTTACTGAGGCTATCCTCGGGGGCGGACATCCTGGCATTTTCACTGCCTGGCAACCATTGCGGTGAAAACAAAGGCCAAAAACTCACAGAAAACGGTACTTTGGGATGGTTGTTGAAACCCCCCTGAACAGTGTAACAAGATTAGCCCTGCGTGTGTAACATATATAAATTTGATTGTTCAGGATTACTTCAAAGTTAAGTTTGTGTTGTTTTCTCAATTTCTCACCGACTCGGCCTGCATTCCACAGCAGCGCGCACAGAGCCCATAGAAATGCATGGTACAGTGGTGCGCTTCTTAGCAACGTGGAGCGTCTTGTGACGTAGCTCAGCCCCTGAGGATACAGTCACACTAAACCACTGCTCAGTCATACTTTAAGGTAGTAGACTACCATTAAAAGGGATTGTTTCCTTGACTTTCACAATGTAGTTTTATTTTGTTGTTGGTGACAGTCACAAAAGAAAATCACTAAACTACTTTTTGTGGAACAAATGGTCAAACCTCCATGAAAATGGTATCATCATGTCTCAAAATTTTGTTTAGTAATATATTCATATGAGATTATAAGATTATGGTTGTTTGAATTATTAGGAAATTTTGATGAATACTATTTATTTTCCATGAAATAATGCTTTAACATATATTCCTATTGAAACAGTTCCAAAAATGACAATTTTGTTAGCTCGATTGTCGACTTTGAGTGGAACTTATCATATGAGTGATTGTCTGTCGCCGTCGTCCAGTGTCCGTCGTCTGCATCAAGTTTTTACTTTTTGACTATTTCTTAAAACTACAAGCCTGACTGCTTTGATACATGGTGTATATGTACCTCGGGTAGACCTCTCTTAGATTTGTTCATTTCATGATGATATCTTCAAAATATGATACGAAAATGTAATGTTTTATTCATCATCAGGTTTGTTAGTCACCACTCAGTGACAAGTGTTGGTAATAGCTGTGTACCTCATGATGATCTATCAGCAGTTTTAAATCAACCATATGATCCAGGAAATTTTCAAGATGAGGTGAGATAATTTAGTTCCTAGTTTGTCACTATTGGAATACTAATTTATCTCTGTCCAGTAATATGAGATGAGTAGTGTATTGCATATATAAACCTTAATCTGATGTCCAATCAGGATTTTATTTTATTATATTTTATTTTATTCAAGGCAGCAATCTATCATACATTACATACCTTCCATATCGAATTGTAACTGTACTACTGAGATAGATGTATATAATTGTGTATAATATTTATGTATCTTTGTACATTGTAGATAATTATAACAATATTATCTGGTATACCAGGCAGTCATAAAGAAAACTTATGTACCACATTGACCAACCTTGCTAAAGAACAAAATAGGTGAGTGTAATAAATATACCGTACACACTGTACTAAAGTTGAAGAGAAAAACAAAACAAAACAGAAAAAACTTAGTCATTACACATATGTTTTCCCATTGTGATATAACATTGTTGACACAATTGCCTTAAGAGTTTTTCAACATTTTAAATTTCTCACTGTTTAATTTTAAATAATTTTTGTTTTTCTTTACACACCTCTGTTAGATGGATCACACTAAAACCGGCATTGGATTTTGTAGATGGATTCAATACTCAAAGTTTGCAAAACTCACTGACTTCAATCGTAACAGCCAGCAGAAAACGTAGTGGCAGAGCTAGTGCATCATCCAGGAAAAAACAAAGAGTACTTATCATGACACCAAGGTAGGTAAAAATCATTAGTCATACAGTTACATTCTACTGTAATGGTAATTAAACAATAAATGATAGGAAGGTAGCTGTATGCAAATTTGCTTTTACTTGTGTTTGTTCTTAAAGGCCCAGGTATACTTTAAATACGCTCCTAAACAATAGGGATCATTTCCTTGCTTGTCACGCTGTAGTAAACAGCTCCAGCCAAGCTCGGTAAAAACACGTTTTCTCGAACTTACAGGTCTATTATGTCGTGCCAAAGTGGATGCATGTGACTATGAATACCACAGCAGTGATTGTGTGTAGTATTTATGACAATAAATAGTGTACAAGCTGAGATTTTAGCTGATAAAAGTGAAAAACATGAACCGGGAAAAGGGACGTGCCACTAATCTTGAATAATTATTACTGTCAATCAAAGTCACGTGATGTTGGACCGCTGAAACAGGATGCGTCATAGGCTATGCAAGTGATTAACAACACTCATTAGCGTAGCCACACCTCCAATTCACACTTGCCGGGGGCAAGTGAATTGGGCCTTTAATGGCTCATTAGTTGTCTACTTTTTCTGGTCAAAATCTTATGAAAGACCTTAGTCTGTGTGTTTGTTTTGACAATTTGCTATGGCTCATACACATAATTGATGAACTTTGATTATTGGTGATCAAATCAAGAACTTATACATTTAAATTATGGCTTAAATAGCTCAGTTTCTGTAATGTAGTGTTACTGGTAATGACAACATTCCAATACTTAATTACTATATATTTGTAATATATAGTAGTCTGTTCTTACAAGTGAATTTCTATAGTGTAAATTTTTGTTTAACTGCAGCTTTACTGATGTATTTGATGTTGTGCAAGCTATAGCATGCCACCCAGATCCAGAGATTGGTAGATCATTAAAGATTGGTGCAGTGTCAACTTGTGTAGACCCACTGAACAGTTTTATGACTCATAGGTAGGTGGGTGGGTGGGTATTACATGGATATCCTTGGGTGTTTTCAGTTTCTAGTACAGTAAAACATGTCAAAATATAAAAATTGTATGAAAGCCAAACATACAAATCTATAAAGTTCTGTTTCACAGGCGATGATGCTACCATGGTGATGGTCAATAAACAGTAATGATGACAATTAGTAACACCAGTATTTCAACTCACTGTGAACAATCACAATCAGTTCACAATAAATAATATTGTCATGAAGATAGTGACTTCACTGTATATTTCAAAGTCTATTTTCTGGCTTTGAAAAACTGATGATAATTTTTAGGACAGCTGAACCACACCAATTTGGCAACAAATTGCTCCCCATAACATGATACCGGTATATATCAAATAAAATAATCTGTCTCATTAATTGATATCACATGATTTGGCTTAGTACCGGTATTTTGTAAGGTAAATGACCTACCCGGTACTTTCTACTTACCCTTATATACTTAACAAAAACACTAAAATCTATCATTTATTATTTGCTATAGTTATTTTGTTATTTTGTTTTTTAATATCTTACTTTTGTTGCTATAAACTGATGGAAACACTGTATTTCTAAGGATGCAATAAATTATCTTTATTATTATTTATTATTATAGGTATACATTTCCCAAATTGTTAGACCAATGTGCTGAAGGTTGGGTTAACAACATTATCTGTACAAGCTCTACAGCAATAAAGGTAACTATACAGGCTGAGATTTTACATCCACATGTACAACCAAAATGTATGAATATCTAGAATTTTACATGATAATCTGATTTCTTGGGTATTATTTTTCCATTGATGATTTTTTTGCGATGGTTGAGAGCTGGAATTATATAACAGTCTGAGGTGCACTGGTGAAATTTTACAATCTCATGATTTAAGCTTCACTGCAAAAAGAAAGCAAGTAGTGTAAAAGGGGAATGGTGTTATTGAATTGTTGATATTTTTTTTATTTGCAGAATCCAGACTTGGATGTACTGCAGCAATTATTGAGGTCTGTAAATCATGATGTTGCTTTGTTATTGGCTAATAATGGTGAAGTAACAAGGTAAAAAGATGTCTGTATATTATTGGTTTATTTCTAGCATGTTTTCTGATAGGATTCTGACTTTCAACAATGTTGTAATGTATGTTGTGTTTTAATTATAAGGTCTCCTGATGTGGACTTAATTTTATCTGAATCTGCATTCACTGAGAGTAAAATGATAAGACAGCGATATCTTTCATGCCCAGGCTGGTGAGTCATAGTTTTCAACTTTAAGGGTGTAATAGAACATCATGAGGCAAAAATGCACAACAATCTGTTTAATATCCCATTAATCTTTTTTGCTATTCCAAAGTGTACTAGATCCTCAATGGAGTTTGAAATGAATTTATGTCCAATGAAGACATAATTAAGCATTATGGAAAAAAAATTAATATTCAGTATAATGGAAATTGTCGTTAGACCGTCAAATATATTATGTAATAGTCCATACCCTGAATAAAGCTGTATGAATAAGCACAACTTTAATTGCATGAACATTGTAGGTACGGGTATGGTATGTCTTCTGTAGTTGCATGTTTATTGCAATGAGGGTTACCTGGTGTATTTACATGACTACATATGGTTGTTTTTTGGAAGGTCACTTGGGAAATTCAGTTCAGGGACAATGACTCCTCCAATGACTGAAATATGTCTAAAGTTTGCTCCACCCCTGGAGAAGAACAGACTGATGAACAAGCTGCGAACACTACGAGGGGCATTATCAAAATATCCATTCCAAGGAAACATCTATACTGTGCGAGGGAGGGTTAGGTTCAGTGGTAGGTTATGTTTGATTTATAATCAGTACCGGTACAAGCAGGCAGTATACTCCCACAACTTGGTAGAATTATTCATTCATCACTATGTATATGTGTACTATATATACAAAACCTGCTTCCATGAAGCTTTATTGATAGAATGTTGATATATACCGGTACTTCTTATAATAGCAATTTGATTGTTGAAGTCTTAAAGTCTATATATATGTAGTTAATTTAGTTTTAAATCTTGTTTCAGAACATGTTTGGCACAACTAAATGCACAAAGATATACAAAGTGTTTGAAGTTTGCATAGACATTGGCATGAAATATTCTATAAATTTAGAAGGACCCTTCCTTCTGCCTAAAATGTATGACTGTTCATTGCAAACTATCCTGTAATGGAAATTTTTTATTTAAAGAAGGCTTTATTTGAATCGCTGGTCGGAATATAGTTTTGTCAGGTTGGCTGTAAAGATGCGGTTTGTGATTGGTGGAGTTGTGTTTGATTCGGTCAAAACTATCCCTCAATTCATCATGGTATGGTCTAAAAAATGTCAACTAGGTTGGTTGACACATCAACATGCTTTTTTGAGTAAAAAAAAAGTGTTTTTTGCAAAAATAAATTGTGAAATGTCACTTGAATCAGTTTAACGATGTATAATAGTTAGGTTATTGCACAAAACATCGATCAGCTTGTGTATGTTTTGTGGTATTTTCATCCTTTCAGACTCTGGACTGAAAGCAACAGAATTTAATTGTGTTACACTGAGTGGTTATCTATTGATGACACCAGCTGAAGTACATCCAGTTCCTCCACCATCCTCAGCTGCCAATGGTCCAGTATCTCCACAGGATCAGTCTAATCTCAACTTTGTTGTCTTTGTTGGAGTTGAGCTCCAGGAAAATAAACTGAAGGAGTGGCTCAGGGCTTGTGTAAAACCAGTAAGTCTTCAGATCAATTATGATTTAAATTTAGAAACTTCCTGGCTCTGAAATTAACTTGCACATAAGGAAGTAACTTTTGGTTAAGATATGATATCTATACAATAAGACTATGGGCAACAGTTGTGAACATCTTTTTACTGACTTTTAGTGTATGTATATCCAGGTAGTTAATTATAGAATGTAAGAAAGTAACCTCACATATTGTGTGTAGTAGACTTTATTCCTTGGCCACATTTCATGAATCGGTATATACCTGAAACAGTAAGTCAAATAACAAAAATGAATAGCTGTGAAAACAACAGTTTTGATAGAATGCCTATATATTTGTTATAGGATTTATATTTTTCCCTCATAGTACATACATTGTTTTTGACAAAGTCCAGCAAATCTCTTATTAATGGTAATGCTTCTTTCTTTTTTACTCAGAAACCACAGAAAAAACAGTTACGAACAAGACAAAGTCTGACAAAACAAGAACTAAAAAATATCCATGTAAGTAAAATTATTGATGTAAATTGTAGAATTGGAAAAAGTATTGGAACAGTTCTTTACTCTCAACATATGTCTTTTACTGCAGACCAAGCATCATCTAAGTGCCTTGCCAGAAGGATGGTTTTATAATGGTTCACAGTATGTCAGCATGGCAGGTGATAAAACATCATCACATCCCAGTATCCTTTTATACATACATGTAATCTTGTGTTCCTGTTTAAAGACATATTTGATTTCAACAGTTGATTTCATATCTCATATCATGTTTTACCTTAACTCATCCAACAGATATGGATAAATTCATTGACGAGTACGTTGATTTGGCAAATAAGGACATTGAAAATTACAATACAAGGATTGACCAACACAAGTTTGTTGACTTGTTTGATGATTAAGCAGTCTAAACTTGTGTAACTAGTACTTCAATAGTAATTTTTCTCTTCAACTGAACTCTTTAAAATATCTGTGTTTAAGTTTGTTTTGTGATGGTTGTTTCTTTTTGTAAACAGAACTGTAAGTGGAAGGCATCAATAACAGTTGGTTTCGATTTCATATAGTTATATAATATAATAATAATTGTTCTGCCAAATTTCACCTGTGCAGATTGAGAAGTCAAATTTACAAAGTACAGTGATATGATTAGTGTTTTGTAAACAACTGTGATGTCACCATTTTCCCAATGGGTAATAAGCTGATACAAGCCCTGTAGGGGATTTGAATGCTGTTTACAAATGAAAAAAAAGTTGATAAATTTTCTCAGTGCAGCACTTTCCAGTAACTGCTTTACTTTGATTATACTGCCCAAGTCCAGTTAAAGTGAAGTTGTCTGTTTAAACAATGTAGTCTTGTATACATGTCACATACATGGCTGATATGATTACAATAGAGATACTGAAAATAAGCCATTTTGCACACACTAAATGTTTGCTGGGCATTATATAATTACATGTACCATACTAAAGTTGCAATTAAAGTGAATTATTTGGTTGATTCGTGAGTTCATGCAATGTTAATTTCTTGATAGTTATATGCTACCATGTCTGATGAAAAAAATATATAAATATATATGTTTGATATAAACAGCTAGTGCTTAAAAATATGTGATTGTCATGGAACAGTGAAATTCAGGCCATGTGTATGCTTTCCTTTAACACCCTAGTACCAGTGGTACCAGTAGGGGTAGGATTGATTGAAAAACAGACAGAGAGCTGATATATTTTTGTTCAACATTCCATTCAATCAAATGATATGCAAATTAGTTATTTTTATGCAAATTATAAAACATTGCTCAATGTTAAAACGGGGTACATCAATCCATCCATAAAATTTCTTACAAAAATTAAAATCAGATTAAATCAAATTAATTAATCATATAATTTCACAAAACTTGTACATGGGATCTAAATAATAATAAATGAGGTGTATTATAATTAAAAATTTAAGGTGTTTTTTTCCCGTCCAAATTTATGTATATACTAAATGCTTAATGTTTGCTGTTCATATTTTGTACTTTATTATATATTACATTCACAACAATTAATGTGGCAGTGCTATTTAATTCCCATGAATGCAGTGTTAGTTTTCACTCACAAGGTGTTTATTTGTAAATGTTAAAATACATGTATGTACATTTTCTAAATCCAAGAAATCACTATCTGTACCGTCATGGTAATGAGGCAAATAAATGAGACTATGAAAACTTCTTTTTTGCCACATACACCAGTTTTCTAAAAGCTCACATGAATAAATTGTTGTAATATCAACATGCGTTTCAAGTGTATTCTTGTTGCCACAATCTCACTTAGTATTCCTTGTCAGCAGCCATGGCTGATTTTTTTGCCTTTTGTAACCTATTACAATTGATCCCAAACTATTGATGTCCCCACTAACATCAGATATTACACTAGTTTTAAATATTGTGTTTTAATATTTCCCATGTGTGAAGTGAGTACATTTTAAGCTTATTTTGGATGCGAAAATGATACAAATGTACTATGTTAAGCTGTATCAATGTATAAAACAACTTTATGCAGTGCAATTTTATAACATAATCATAATGTTGGTCATTGTTTGGTAGCAATCAAAACACAGTATTTAAAGGGAGTACATGCTGCAAGTTGGCTGGCCCTCAGGTTAAGTTTGGTTTTTAATCTTGTGATGCCAGGTTTTCTTCAACATAGTAAGTAGTCCCAAAAAAATTTCTCAAGAGAGAAAGCACAACTATTTATTCTTTATGTAGATACATGTATACCACTTTTCCAATGAAAATATCAACATTAACTCACAAAAACAGTCACAGCATGGACGGTGTTCCAAGAGAAATCTTTGCTCTCAATCAATCAGGCCGAGAGAGTTGATAATTTAGGATAATTAGCCCAATGATAATCTAGATTATCTCTGCTTAATAGGGAGACTGTGTTACATGACTTGGATATAACTTAATGCTTACACCACTTGTAAATCATATCAGATCCATTCCAGGATGACTGACAGTGTAGTAACATGGTAGTTCTTTTATTGTATTTCATTGAATTGAACCACATTTTAACATGAAATATGACCTAGTCTGTGGTAGAGTCCACAATTATGACCATGCAATATGCTTTGTTCTGCGGGGTATCTGTCATCTAGCCTGAATGCTTTCTTCTTTATTTGTTTATTTTTTCATTCAAAGAAACTCTGAGATCTAATTGCTAAAAAAACAACAAAGAAAAACATTAAATGCATGCCTGTGAGAAATCCTACAGCAAACAAGTCATTGTCAATGACACGTCCCCGTTCCGTTCATATTTGAGTGACATATACATTCGAAGCAGATCATGACCAAAATGCACCTGCATATGTACAACACATTGTGCTAAATCTGAACAAAATTCATCCATGCATGACTGAGATCCGGTTCTGGAATTGTGAAAATACGTGATTTTGATGCATTTTCGGCCTTAAAATGGCCATCATTCCGCTATCGTTAATGAGATCATGAAACAAATGCACATACATATTTGTGACATGATGTACCTTGTGTGTGTGAAGTTTGAACTTGATCAATCCAGACATGTCTCAGATACGGATCCAGAACTGAATTCTTTAAAACAAAATGGCCGCCAGTCGGCTATTTCGAACTTGATCCGAAAAAAAAAATGACGTGCATCAAGGTCCTATTATGTTCAATGTATGTACCAAATTTGAATGAAATCCGTCCATGCATAACTGAGATCCGGGTCCGGAATGGTGAAAATGTGTGATTTCAATGCATTTTCGGCCTTAAAATGGCCGCTTTTCGGCTATCGTTAATCGGATCATGAAAAAAATGCATGTGCATATGTCCCATATAATGTGTGATGTATGAGTGAAGTTTGAACTTGATCGGTCCATGCATGTTCGAGATACAGGTGATCACGGACGCACGGACGCACACAGGGCAAAACATAAGTCCCCGTTTTCGGACTGCGTCCGAACGGGGACTAACTAAAGAGATCTAATTGCCAAATAGAAAAACACTAAATGCATGTCTGCGAAAAATCACACACCATTTGGTTGTTTCATGGATATTTCCCCTGGGGTGATTTTTTTTTTCTGCCAATATTTGTGAATTAAGATTCACTATCACAATGTCAGTAAAAAATAGTGTAACAACCAGAGTGACAATCATGTGTTTAGAGAATGATAGCATGCATTGTGAACCCAGAATAATGATTATAATAATATGCACAGGATTTGGATAGCAATAGTTGCACTTGTCCTTAGGAATTAGAAATTTATGTTTCATAACTTCGTATTTGTATAAGTCATTGTAGTCCAAAAAGGGGGAATTATGTTTACAGTTTTATAAACTATGGGAATGAAACTGTGTACTTACAAGTTGTGTAATTTTATATCAAAACCTTGTGTTAACTCTGTGACCTGATCTCTCTCAGGACAAAAAGTTGCACACACGCAAACCTACAACTGTACTTCGTCTTAATGGCTACTCAACTCTAACAGTCAGACCAATCAGAAAGCAGTTTGTTTTTATTGACAGGTTTTTCCAACATATTAAATTTTGCTTTGTACATATGCTTTAACTCAACAGTAACGTCATAGACGTCCCATTAGACCTTATCCACTCAGTTTTTTGGCACCAAGTGTCTAAACTCACTAGATTTTACCTCAAGCAGTCTGCTCACAGTAGCGTAGTTTTGAACCCATAGTTGCAAGAAAGCACTGTCTTAACTAATAAATGAACAATTTTTTGAAATTGGCAGACTGGCCATTTTGTACATCAAACTTGAGAGTATCATTACTGTAAAATCTACTGCTTCTATTAAAATGGTACAATACAACACAGGGGATGTGACTTCTATTGGAGCATCTACTGCATCAATTGTTTGAAATGAATGGATGCGACTTCTGTTAGGGATGCGGCATCTAATACAGATTTTATGGTACCAAGTTTATTCAGATTTGGTATCAAGATGGCAGTATATTACTTCATGACGAAGTTGATTTTTTTTGTCAAGATTCTCTGCAATATGGGCATTGGCTGACTGGCAGCCATTTCATTTTTTTCTCAAATTCATACTGTACAATCACATCCAAATTTGGTTCACACCTGGTAGCTATTTTATTTGACCAAAATCTTTGTTTTGCACAATTCTGCTTATGTCTTAAATTCTCACTGTCTGGTTAAGTTCAATCTTAGTGCACAATTGTATTCTAGCACATCAATGAAAGTTAATCATGATCTAAGATGGTTGACTGACAGCCAGCCATTATGCTTTTTGCTGAATTCTGCTTACCGGTATATTTCAAATTCTTACTGCCCAGGTAGGTTCAAACTTTTTACATCAATTTACCCGGTAACAGTCTATGTCACAATCCAATCAAATATGGTCAACTGGCAGCCATTTTTGTTGTTGACATTAGATCAATTTTGTTTTAATTTTGGTATGATGGGTTTTATACATTGGGTGCCCAAGACACTGGTTCATACATGTATGATCCTTGAGATTTCAGAATAAACATCCTCAACTTTTGGAGAACTGCTGCAGATTTAACTGAAATGTAACTGGCTCCCCTACAAAATTCACACATTTATCAAGGATAAGTGTAGATGTAGCTTGTGAATGCCCTTCAGAGGGTTGGGTCAGGAGATGTGGTTAAAGGGACATTCACCCCTAAACATTTCTTAATTTTGAATGAATAAGAATCAATTATTCAGGATAATTAATCCACTGTTTCAATAGTCTAAAATTATCTCAACTTGGCAGCAAAACTTGTTTTTCCTGTATTGTAGGTGTCATTTACAATGACTTGGTTATTACATTACTAGACAGAATGTGAACAGCTCAACACTAATACTAGAAACAGTCGTGCAGTATTTGTAAATCTTGACACTTTAATCATTACCAATTCCAACAACAGAATTGTAACATATTTAAATACAGCAAATCTCTAACCTAATAATGTGAAATTCAAAACATAAACAGCACTACAAATATCCAAGTATTCATCTGCAGTCAGTTTTCACAAGTGGTGATATTTTCCCTGAGACTTTCATTTAACTTAAGATGCTGTCACTTTCTGTAAAAAATTAAAAGTTTGTTAAGAACGCTCTGCAGTCTTATAAATGGGTTTCAAATAGATGACAGTTGCCCACCAAGCCTTGTTAATGTACAACTTGCTCCCTTGCCACATTTTACACAATAACATTAATTTATTAGTATTTCACTTGAGTAAATCGTGAAGTTGCTCAGTGACCCATAAATTACATTTCCACTAAGTCTCTATATTATACAGTGTTCTCCCCAAAGCGTTTTAGCGTAGCGGGGCCGCTACT